GGAATATTCATCCCAGTGTGTTTCAATTCATTTATAATCATGGCACCGTTTTAAGAAAATACACAGTTTTCTGTCACTCTTAATACCTATTACAGTCTGGTACTAAAAGTGCCCCATACATAGTTATTTCTTGTATGGTTTGATATTATTGTATTTTACACCTACTGAAAGAAGAATCTCTTGGTGTTTATTGTTTATGATTTTTTTTAATGAATGTTAATGTGAAATATGAAATAAACTAAACTGACAAACTGAAATTAAGCGAGCGAAGCGAACAAGCGTTGTACAAATATCATAAGATATGAGGCTCTTTCCTAGATTCTAATATTTTCAATTAGACGTATTTGTTAAAAAAATATAAAAAATAGAATTTTAATTATTGTCTCCCAGGAACCCCTAACAAAAATGTTTTTCAAATCCATTCTCTCTTTTCTTTTTCGATATATATTTTTTTTTTACAGTTTTTTATCTTTTTTTCCTTCTTCTTCTTTACTTTTCTTTTCTTTGTTTTTGTTTACTTGTCGTCGAACTGGCCATTCTTTTACAAAGGTCTTGTAATAAAGTGGCCTGTCAAGTTTTGATACTTTCATATTAACCAAACATATTCAGTTCATAACTTAATACATGCTGGATTGAAAGTGTTAGCATCATGGTCTCTGAAGTGACTGACTGAAGTTATATGTTCCTTTACTTTGCATTGTCTCTATAGTAATGGCGACGCAAGAAGGTATTGCCGATAATCTTCTCTCCCAGCTGGCTGAAAACATCGAGAAGGGTGAGCAGATGGAGGCCTTAGGACGAGCTCTTGGATTGAAAGCTGCAGCTATCAATAGATACACAGAGACCAATAGGATAGAAGGACGGGTGACGTGTAAGGGAACACGTGACATGCTGTTTGACTGGAGACAGACCATGAAGCCTTGCGACCAGCATATCAGACTGAAACAAGCTCTTATTGACGCTGAGCTGATCATGCTTGCTGATACATATTTCAAGGACACACCAAATATTAGAGGTGGGTCTATCAGTACTAGAGTGCTTACAATCACTTTTGTCAGCCTTAAATTGTTTTTAGAACATAAAATCATAGCATTTCCATTTATCACTGGCGTACCGAGAGTCCAATGGCTCTGAATTTAAGTATAGTAAAGGACAGTGTTGTCCGATTCTTTCACTCTATGTCTCTTTATATTAATATGTCTCTCTTTCAAAAAGTCTCTTCGCTGCGCGTTTGGTGAGGAGGCATTTAGATATTACTGTAGTTTACTGTTCATAAAGTGACCCTTAGTAAAGCCGCCCGGCCTGCTTTCAATTTATATTTTAGGTAAATGTTTAATTGTTTTGGCTTATCGTTTAATATTTTTATCAATAACACGTACAATTGATAACAAGTTCAAATACTGAAATTTTGCAATCTGGCCAGTGAATTGTTATGTAGTCACGTACAACTCTCCAGTTTGTCGTGTGAAAAAAAAACATTTATGTTTTTTCTCATACGCACCTTTTGCCTTTGGGTCACTACTAAAAAAATATTGTGAATATCATATTAATACATGTCTTTTTTAAAAGGGGAGATCCTCTGGAATAATACATTTCGACAAATTGTCGTTTTAGTAATTCCGTGTGTTGGAACAAATTGGAGAGTTGTCCGCCACCATACATCACATTAACATGACCGATTCGGCTAATTTTAAATTCTTTCACGTAATGTACGTATGTTGGATTATCCTTTACGTATGTTTCCTTCCTTTTACTCCACGGGGGAGTGGACAAATGTCGGAACAATGAAACTTAATGTAATTTAAAGAGAAACAAACTTAACAAAATATATTTCATTGTAGGGGGTAGGGGCATAGATCGTGGGAATGCATTCAGATAATGTTGTCTTATATGCTTTTATCATTCCAGATATCTCCAGTGAAAAGATTTCGGAGTCCTTGTCTGTTCAGCAATGTCGCGAAAAGTTGAAAAACAAGTACTTGAATGAATTGTGCAAAATCCAAATGAGGCCATGGGATAAGAATGCCTATGCTGAGTTCAAAGATATGCACACGTTGGTAACAATGGTGAAGAAGGACGTTAATGGACAAGACATGGAAATCAAGGAAATACTCCAGGGTTCTGTATCTGACATATTTTCAACGAAAGTAAATGGCATACTGCCAGCTCGAATCCTCATTTCGGCCCCGGCTGGACGAGGGAAGACCACGGCTGTTGCTAAGATGGCATACGACTGGGTTCATGGAGAGAGGGGGTCAGCATTAGAACACCTGCCACTTCTATTTGTTGTGAAATTCCGAAACACAGGTCAGCTAACATCGATCGGAGAAGCCATCAAATCCCAGCTTTTAAGTGATGTTCATGATCTCACACCAGAGGGTCTAGAGAGTTTCATCAGAAAGAATCAGGGAATCTGCCACATCATACTAGACGGGCTAGATGAGTATGCCGGAATTTCTTCTTCAAATCGAAGCTTAGGGAGCAACATTGTCAATGTCATCCGCTGGGAGGAATTCCCACAGTGTCGAGTCCTTGTAACAACACGCCCTCACCTAGAGAACTTTTTCAATCAAGCGGAACTTCCAAGGGTATACACAAAGATGTGGATCGAAGGATTCTCTCGGGAGAGCTCGCATGAGTACATCGACAAATTCTTTGCTTCGAGTTCGAATCCTAATAGTGGACATAGTCTGAAGGTTTACCTTGATATCCAGCCACTTATCGATGAACTTGTAAAAACACCTCTATTTTGTCTCATGGTCTGTCACTTGTGGAGCAATGGCCTACTTGACAGTGGTACTACTACTCAAACAGAATTGCTGGACAGCGTGAATGTTTTTCTAATGCAGTACACAAACGCCCGATCCGAGTCGAGAGTGAAAATCACACCCAAAATGTTAAGGAAATTGATCCTTCAAGTAGGCGACGTAGCTCTAACTGGTCTGCTCGACGATGCTAAAAAACTAGTCTTCATGCCTCACGATTTCCGTAGAGTTCCCGCAATACTTGATAAAGCGTGTGAACTTGGGATAGTATCAAAGACGACTGTTTCATCAACATGCCTTCCTCAGTCCAATGAGACCACTTCCACTACAATTGAATTTTATCACAAAATCGCCCAAGAACACTCGGCTGGAAAATTCCTCGCTGATCAAACGAACCACTTTCTGTTACATTTCAAGATTTCTAAGTTAGATAGAGTACTACGGAAGATCAAAGCAAACATTGGTGACTATGAGAATCTCATCCGATTCGCTGCTGGCACGGACAACAACCTCTGTATACGGATAATGGAGATGCTCCTTAAAAACAGATTTTTGGATGAGAGCGAGCGATATCGCATTCTCCTTGACTGTTCATCAGAGACCACGAGTACAGATGGAAACGTGTCGGCGTTGGTTCAAAGATGTGTGAATGCAGACAAAATTGTTCTAAAGTCACCGACTGTCTACACCGTCGTTGGGATGCAAAATCTTCCACTGCAACTTAAACGTGGCGTATGCATATTTTCATTTAACGAAATATGTTTACATTAATTATTTCATTAGAATGTTTAATTTTTCATTTCTCTGCTATAGCTTTAAATCACAATGCAAGTATAATCTGTTGTTATACATAATCAACTGCATCTGATTCTTACTGCATGATATAACGATCAATACTCATGATTTATTTTCATTATTATGCTATGTTTGCCAAACTACGGCCTCAATCAAGGTACTGCATAACAGAAACAAAGAAAAATAATTAAAAACAAAGTAATAGTGATACTCTTTTTTTAACAGGTCCTGGGGCCTATTCATATTGAGAAAATGACAAGGAACAGTAAATTTAAGCACGTATCCTATGTAAAGCAAATGAGCTGTATTTTCAACATAGAAGAAAATGAATGTATAAGTTATTAATGCAAAACAGTGAGAGGAGGGGGGGGGGGAGATTATCCTAAGATCAGGCTACAGTCTTAATTGCATTAATGATTACCACAACAACCAAGGCATAAACTGATTAATGTTATTTTATTCGTACAATCTGTCTTTAAATCTCTTTCTTTTACATACACTCTATCTCTCTCTCTCTCTCTCCATATATATATATATATATATATATATATATTAACATTAGGTTAGGACAGTAAAGTTCGAGGGATCTACTTTAACTGCCGAAGTGACGAGTGGACTATGGTCCTGCCTGGGACCATTTTCGATCCTACGTACTCTCACCATCTCAGACTCATCTCTCAGTTTCCCTCGATCTCCTCCTAAGCTTCCATCCGTCACAAAGCTTTCAGCCGAGAGAGTGACGTCACAAAGCTACGAAGGTCTGATCTCATCGCTCCCTGGCTTGATAGATATCGATATCATTATTGGTGATGCGGAACAAGACATACATCAGATTACGGCTGGTCTTCATCGGACCGAAGGACAGCAGCTCACATCTATAAGACTTGAAGCACCATCATCACTCCCACCAGAGAAGAAGAGTGTATCGACAGAGACGATGAGAGGACTGGGTCATCTGATCAGACAACAAACCAAGAACATGCAGTGGCTTTTGCTATCCAGAGTGAATTGCAGAAAGGAGGAAGACTTGGTTAAACTCGTCGAGTCTTGGAGACATGTGAAGACACTGAATCATCTAGTGTGAGTTTACTATACAAACGTTGAGTCAGTCCAATAATAGGTCTACTGATAATAACAATAATAATTTTGGTAAACAATTTATAACCATAATAACCATAATAACCTGATTGTATATATGTAAAACGCTTAGAGACCTTTGTATTAAAAGCTATAAAAAAAATTAAATATTATTATTATTATTATCGTAACGCAAACAGTGTCAACGATACTGTACTGAACAAATGCATTTTTTTTAAACATTAGTTTACAATGGGCAATCGATACCTAACCTCTATCTAAAGACTCTTCTTTTGTACTTTATGCAATTGTTTTACAATACACAATTATTAAAAGCAATCTACAAAATGGTTGTAAATTTTTTTCTATCCATTCCTCCTTTCTAAGCAATCTTACACTTTATTGATATGTTGCAGGTTTCTTGGCTGTGGTACAAAAACAGGCGGTAGACTAGGACGTCACGTCGGTGAGCTTCTTATCTCACAGAAATCACTCATGGTGATTGTCTATCATGTAAGTAACCTACTAGGTATATATTTTTTACTACAGGTGTGCAAGGATATACTTTTGATATCGTAACATTGATTCATTATAGAGTAATGAGGAGTACTGCAGGGAGTGGATGTAGGTATTGCATGTACAAGTTAGTTATGCTTAAGCTTAACATGACAACAGATGTCAAAAGATTGAAAATTAAACTGAAATGTAATACTATTACTACATCTGATAATAATACTTACAGTACGACAAAAAATATAATAAACGATGTTTTCGGAATAAGAATAAGGGTGCCTATTTAAGGAAATCTACCAGCCATTTGCAGATTCACGTGTATGCAAGCGAAAGTGATTGTTTGATTGGCCACATAACCATGAAAACTTTCGATTAAAGAAACGTACCTGTATAGAGCGTTTTATGTGACAAATTTGTAGATAGATTTATTACGAATTATTCACCATGAATTCAAGTCAACTGGTGTCATGGGCCTGGATATTCATCTCTAAAATGTTAATGAAAAATCAATAAAGACGGGTCCATTCCTTGAAATTCAATTCGTTTACTGCTTTTGTTGTATCTTATATGACTTGCATATTAAATTACTCTCTAATTCCAGGATAATGGTCAACTCGTCGTGAATAATTGCCACTTATCTTCTGAGATTACTGTCAGGATTTGGTCCTGTCTTAGATCCTTCACCTCACTGAACCATCTCACCATCTCAGACTCCTCTCTCAGTTTCCCTCCTTCTATCCCTGAGCTTCCATCCGTCACACATCTATCATCCGAGAGAGTGACGTCACAAAGCTATGAAGGTTTGCTCTCATCGCTCCCTGGCTTGAGAGATATCGATATCATTATCGATGATGCAGAGAGAGACATACCTCAGATCACAGCTGGTCTTCGTCGGACCGGAGGACAGCAGCTCACATCTATAAGACTTGAAGCACCATCATCACTCCCATCAGAGAAGAAGAGTGTGTCGACAGAGACGATGAGAGGGCTAGGTCATCTGATCATAGAACATACCGAGCGCATGCAGTGGCTTTTGCTATCCGGTGTGAATTGCAGTAAGGAGGCAGACTTGGTTGAACTCGTCGAGTCTTTGAGATATGTAAAAACACTGAATCATCTTATGTGAGTTTATTATACAAAAGTTGAGACAGTCAATGATAATGATAGGCCTACTGATAATAACAATGATATTCATGTAACAATTAATTACCATAATAACCTGATCATAACGCACACAGTGTCAAAGATTCTGTACTGCACAGATATCTTTTTGTTTTCATTAGTTTACAATGGGCATTGGACACCTAGCCTCTATCTTAAACCCTAAAAAGGCCCGGGCTATTTGATGTCTTAATACGGCCGGAGGTGGGCATTATGGCAACCTAAGCTCTCGGTCGTAAAACGGCCGATCGCCGCGAAAATTCGCACGCATGTCAAGTGAAGTGTATAGAATAATATGGTAAATAATTTTTTTTGAAAAATTCACTTATTTGCATATTTATGGTAGTTTATGCAACTAATGTCATATAATTCACCTTTTTACCCATAAAGCATATATTCTTTATATTAAAGCATTCCTTTCGATTACATGTATTCGTTAGACCATTTAAAACAATAATACGACAACAAATTTGGACGAGCTAGGTTATTCCTTATGTTATCTCATGTTTTGATAATTTATTATGTATTTCATTGTTTTTATAATTTAGTATGCATTTTATTGTTTTTTATTGTTATATTTCTTTTCTAACTATATAAAATTAAATTCTTTTGACTCCAAAAACAAACACCTAAACTTTAAACATGGCCCAATAACCTTATTTTATCTCTTTTGAGAAAAAATGACATTTCCATATGTTTTGTACAGAAGTCGCGAAAATGAGCGATTTTCGGGATGACATGCAAAGACAAAAGGCCACGTGACTTTGTAACTGTACGTCCGACTTTAAAAAACTTTTTTTTTAAGGTGCGCAAGACTCGAAAAAAAAGTCAGCGAGCGGCGGGGCGCCATCCGTATGAGTTCCCGGACAATCAGAAAATCGCGAAGGGGGGGGGGGGGGCCTTATTAGGGTGAAGACTCTGCATTTGTACTTTATGCATTTATGTCACAATACAAAACTCTTAAATGTAATCTACAAATGTGTGCAATTTTGGCAATCTATTTCTCCTTTCTAAACGATCTAACACTTTATTGATATATTGCAGGTTTCTTGGCTGTGGTACAAAAACAGGCGGTAGACTAGGACGTTACGTCAGTGAGCTTCTTATCTCACAAAAATCACTCATGGTGATTGTCTATCATGTAAGTAACCTACTAGGTATATTTTGTACTACATGTGTGCAAGGATATACTTTTGACAATGTTACATTTATTTGTTATAGGGTGACGAGGAGTACTGCACGGAGCGGATGTACATGTAGGTGCTGCATGTTCAAGTAAATTATGCTTATGCTTGTGATGACAACAGATTGAAAAAGATTGAACATTAAACTGAAATTCAATACTACCTCTAATAATAATACTTATGACAAAACAAATAAAATGAACGATGTTTTCGGAATAAGAATTAGGTTGCTTATCAGAGAATGTACTTCTTGAGGATGATAAGAAAGATGCATGTAGACAAAACAATTCTGATTATATTTTACAGATCTTTGATAGAGAGTGTAGCTACATACAACATAATATGCTATTTTGGGAATGCACCTCAAAAAGATAAGAAGAAGTTAGACAGTACGAGGAGAGTAGCACATCGGATAATTGGCAGTAGCCTACACGCAGTATCCACACTGTATGAAGAAAGTGTAGTTGCTAAAGTCAAACGATTCATGAACGACCCCACCCACCCGCTTCACACTAATTACAATTACAATAGGTCAGGCTTTCATTTGTGTGTGTCCAGGTCTGCTCGAGTGAGAACTCGGCAATCATTCATACCAAACTCCATCCACATGTTCAACGGAATGTCTCGAAGACCCAGTGTTGTACTTACTTAATACTTAATTAATAATTCCCAAATTGGTTTAAGACGCAAATACATGTATGGATACCCAACCTCCTCAGTATATTTATCTCTTTTTTCAATTCGTTTGATCACCTGACACACGGACACCTCCTCTTGCTCTGCTTTAATTACTATGTTAACTGTTGTTCTGAATTAGTGTTTATAAAGCAACATGAGATCCTCTGTTAATTTGTACTTAATCATATGTTAAACCTTGTTTATTTACTGTTAATGTCTATATTTTTGTAAATTAATTAGTGAATGTTAATCTGTGTATGTTACACCAGTGAAAATCAAATATCCAGAAATGGACAATAAATATTAAATTAAATTGAAATTGAATTAAACAAATATACCAGCCATTTGCAGATTCACGGGTATGCAAGCGTAAGTGACTGTTTGATTGGCCACATAACCATGACAACTTTCGATTAAAGAAACGTACCTGTATAGAGCGTTTTATGTGACAAATTTGTAGATAGATTTATTACGAATTATTCACCATGAATTCAAGTCAACTGGTGTCATGGGCCTGGATATTCATCTCTAAAATGTTAATGAAAAATCAATAATGACGGGTCCATTCCTTGAAATTCAATTCGTTTACTGCTTTTGTTGTATCTTATATGACTTACATATTAAATTAACTCTTTAATTCCAGGATAATGGTCAACTCGTCGTGAATAATTGCCACTTATCTTCTGAGATTACTGTCAGGATTTGGTCCTGCCTTAGATCCTTCACCTCACTGAACCATCTCACCATCTCAGACTCCTCTCTTAGTTTCCCTCCTTCTCATCCTATGCTTCCATCCGTCACACATCTATCATCCGAGAGAGTGACGTCACAAAGCTATGAAGGTTTGCTCTCATCGCTCCCTGGCTTGACAGATATCGATATCGCTATCGATGATGCAGAGAGAGACATACCTCAGATCATGGCTCGTCTTCCTCGGACCGAAGGAAAGCAGCTCACAACTATAAGACTTGCAGCAACGCCATCACTTCTATCAGAGAAGAAGAAGAGTGTATCGAGAAAGACGGTGAGAGGACTGGGTCTTCTGATCATAAATCATGTAAGTCTATCATGTAAGTAACCTACTAGGTACATTTTTTTTACTACACGTGTGCAAGGATATACTGTTGACATTGTAAGTTTGATTCATTATAGAGTGTTGAAGAGTACTGCAGGGAGCGGATTTAGGTACTGAATGTACAAGATAATTATGTTAATGCTTGTGATGACAACATATTTTAAAAGAATGAACATTAACTGAAAATAAATTTTACCTCTAATAATGATACTTATAATACAAAATATAATGAACGATGCTTTCGGAATAAGAATTAGGGTGTCTATCCAAACGAATCTACCAGCCATTTGCAGATTCACGTGTATGCAAGCGAAAGTGATTGTTTGATTGACCACATAACCGTGAACACTTTAGATTAAAGAAATGTATAGAGCGTTTTATGCGACAAATTTGTAAAGAGATTTATTAAGAATTATTCACCACGAATACAAGTCAACTGGTGTCATGAGTTTTGATAGCCCTGGACTCTCATCTCTTAAATGTTAATGAAAATTAATCAAGACGTGTCCATTCCTTGAAATTCAATCCGTTTACTGCCTTCTTTTGACTTATTTTGACTCACCTATTAAATTACTCTCTACTTCTAGGAGAATGGTCAACTCGTTGTGAATAATTGCCACTTATCTTCAGAGATTACTGTCAGGATTTGGTCCTGTCTGAGATCCTTCACCTCACTGAACCAGCTCACCATTTCAGACTCCTCTCTCAGTTTCCCTTCTTCTACCCCTGAGCTTCCATCCATCACAAAGCTATCAGCCGAGAGAGTGACGTCAAAAAGCTTTGAAGGTCTGCTCTCATCGCTCCCTGGCTTGACAAATATCGATATCACTATCGATGATGCAGAGAGAGACATACCTGAGATCACGGCTGGTCTTTGTCGGACCCGAGGAAAGCAGCTCACAACTATAAGACTTGCAGCAACGCCATCACTTCTATCAGAGAAGAAGAGTGTATCGAGAGAGACGGTGAGAGGACTGGGTCTTCTGATCATAAATCATGTAAGTCTATCATGAAAGTAACCTACTAGGTATATTTTTACTACACGTGTGCAAGGATATACTGTTGACATTGTAAGTTTGATTTGTTATAGAGTGATGAGGAGTACTGCAGGGAGAGGATGTAGGTACTGCATGTACAAGTAATTCATTCTTATGCTTGTGATGACAAGAAATGTTAAAAGATTGAATATTAAACTGAAATTCAATTCTACCTCTAATAATAATACTTATAATACAAAATATAATGAACCATGTTTTCTGAATAATAATCAGAGTGCCTATCTAAACAAATCTACCAGCCATTTGCAGATTCACGTGTATGCAAGCGAAAGTGATTGTTTGATTGGCCACATAACCGTGAACACTTTAGATTAAAGAAATGTATAGAACGTTTTATGCGACAAATTTGTAAAGAGATTTATTAAGAATTATTCACCATGAATTCAAGTCAACTGGTGTCATGAGTCTCGATAGCCCTGGACTTTCATCTCTTAAATGTTGAATGAAAATTAATCAAGACGTGTATATTCCTTGAAATTCAATCCGTTTACTGCCTTCTTTTGACTTATTTTGACTCACCTATTAAATTACTCTCTACTTCTAGGAGAATGGTCAACTCGTTGTGAATAATTGCCACTTATCTTCAGAGATTACTGTCAGGATTTGGTCCTGTCTGAGATCCTTCACCTCACTGAACCAGCTCACCATTTCAGACTCCTCTCTCAGTTTCCCTTCTTCTACCCCTGAGCTTCCATCCATCACAAAGCTATCAGCCGAGAGAGTGACGTCACAAAGCTTTGAAGGTCTGCTCTCATCGCTCCCTGGCTTGACAGATATCGATATCACTATCGATGATGCAGAGAGAGACATACCTGAGATCACGGCTGGTCTTTGTCGGACCCGAGGAAAGCAGCTCACAACTATAAGACTTGCAGAAACGCCATCACTTCTATCAGAGAAGAAGAGTGTATCGAGAAAGACGGTGAGAGGACTGGGTCTTCTGATCATAAATCATGTAAGTTTATCATGA